ATATCATTGAAAAAATGTACCTTAGCTTTTACCTTTATAATAATTATATGTTTGTTTGTACATTTCATAATAAAACTTCACGTGAAAAAAAATAGGTAAAAAAATAAATAAATTACCCAAAAATTTAATCATTAAAAAGGTGTACTTAACTTTTATATTTATGATAACTATATGTTTGTTTGTATATTTCATAATAAAATATTATTTTAATGTGAAAAAACTTTGTACAAAGATTTAACTTTGTAAAGCTAACAAGTTTAAAATTATTAATTGACGTAACAACTAATAAAACTCATTTTAATCGTGATTAATTACGTGAGAGAGCGTATAGTTTAAGTTTAAATAAAATAAATTAATTATTTGTGCAAGTAATTTTAAAAAATTAATTACTACGAATTTTTAAATTTAATTAAAAATAAAATACGAATAAAATAAAAAAAATATATTTAGTAAAGTAAATTTATAAATATTAAATTAAATTATTTTTGTATGCTTTAATAACAAATTTGTCAGAAGACGACAAGACAAGAAAGGTTAAGAGGTTGTTGTTCTGGTGATTCATAGGGGAGAGAAGGAGCGAAGATTCGCGCGCACTCCCACGTGAAAAAAAAGTTCGTCCTGCTGGGTCCCACTTTTTTCTTATTATTAAAATAATTTTTAGTAATAATAATATTTTTTTATATAACTTAATTTTTAAAATTATAAATTTATTTTTAAAATACTGATCCTATTAATTTTAATTAAAAAAATAAATAACTTAAAAAAGTTTTTAAAAAATAGTAGAAAATAAAAATGAACGTAACCAAAACATGTTGATATCAAATAAAAAAAATTAGATCTAAAAAAAAAATATACTTAAATTTATAACGGAATAAATATGTACGTCCTGCAATAAATTTTTAAAATTAATACATAATTTTTTTATTATAAAAATAAAATAATAAAAAAAATCATACGTGTAATTTAAGAATTATGACCTCATATTTATGAGCAAACATAACTCTCATTTTTTTTTTATTTTCAATTTGATAAATATCAAAATTAAAAATTATAAATATGGTATCTATACATAAAAAATAAAACTCATAATTTAATTTTCGAAATACATTTAGTCTTATTAGATAATTTTAAACGGACTCGATTAATTTGATAGTTTTTCATGTAGAATAATTTATACGTATAAGTTCACACAGTAAATTTAAAAAATTTAATAATAAAAAAATATGAAAAAATAAAAAAAATGAGATGTAAAAAGCAAAAAAAATGAATATCAAACCATTAATTAAAGAAAATACTAATATATTTAACTTTTGTTCTATATAAATATTTTTTAATCAAAATTTATATAGTTTAATTATTAATTAATAGTTATATACTAATAATAATATAATTAATCTTTCGAAATATAATTTTACTCGAATTCATGTTATTTAATTAATTAATTAAAAAATAAATAAAGAAAAGGATATAAGCGTGCAATTAAAAAAAAAAAAAGGAAAGTGGGTGTATATACTAATAGGAAAAATATATTCTTTTTAAATTTTTAATATTTATGTTTGCTTTTTTTCAGGAAAGCTTTTTGTCAAACAGAGCTCCTCTGCTTCTCCATCCCTT